CATCATAAAAATTAAGATGTTATTTTTTCTAACATAGTTATGTGTGTCTTCAAAAGTGAGTTTAGGGAATTAGGGCGGTTTCTGTGGAATTAATCCCATATGTTCTGTTGTTCTTAGCAGCGGTTTTCACTTAACATAGTACCTCCTGTGTTTTGTGAGCCTTGGCGTTAAGTGAAACCTACTAACAATAATATATATATATATATATATATATATATATATATATATATATATATATATATATATATATATATATATATATATATATATATATATATATATATATATATATATATATATATATACATATATATATATACAACAAAATATATGTACAAAAAATAAATGTTAAATGAATTATTTATGGTGCATTAGGGTACTGGTCACTTCAGACACAAAGACGGGCTATAAATAGCCTTCTTTATCTCCCCTCCATCTCACCCTGAGCCAGAGGGAAGGGTCATGGTAAATAACATTTGTTTGCTTATTTTCCATTTACTTGAAATAGATTTACCGAATTATTTGTTTATTTATTTAAAAGTCATTTACTGAATATTCTATGTAAAAAATAAATTTTAAATTAATTATTTATAGGAGATACCGTAAGTATTATGATCAGTAAATATATGGTATTACTGGCCACTTCAGACACAAAGACGGGATAAAAATAGCCCATCTCCCCCTCTTCTTACAGCTGCCAATGGGAAGCGTCTTGGTAATTAAATTTGATGTTTATTTTCATTGTCTAATTTATCATGTATCAAAGTAATATTACTAAAAATTGTGTAGGTAGTAGGCAGCTACCAAACAGGTAGATACTACCGCCTGGGAAGATATTGGAAGCATAATGTGTTGTCTAATTGTGACCAAGTCCCAGGTTCAGCGCTGACCTGACTTTCTGCCTCATTTACACACAATTGCAGTTTGAATTGTTCCTCTAACTTTGACAACACAACATACATACAGTATATTATTTCTCACTTTTGATCTTTTTTTTACTTTTTGTATTTATTTATGGTTAGTTACTTAAAATAAGGCCAATTCACTTCAAGTAATGGCATCAAATGTTACCAGCTGGTGTAGTGTAAACACTAGTGACGTCACTTAAGCGTCTGTATTTAACTGTCAGTAGTTTCAAGAATTAATGCAGTCATTTACTGAATATTCCTTGTAAAAAAATAAATTTTAAATTAATTATTTATAGGAGATAAGTATTATTATCAGTAAATATACCGATATGCATTACTGACCACCTCCACGGCTAAAAATAGCCCAATCTCGCGGTCACTTTCCCTTTCTTGTCTCCTCACTGGCAAATGGGGGGGGCGTGGGGAGGGGTGTGTGATGATAGCTGTGTTTATTACAGGGGTATAATTCTCTTTTACGGTATGTTAGACAGGTTTATAATACATTTTTATTATTTTAATATACCGGTAATCTTAATTTGAATCCAGCTTGCCAAACGTAAGTTTCAGTATAAAATAATTAGTGGTAAGACCATGTGAGTGGCTTACGATGTTTCCATCACCACTCTTGACACAGTAAACCACAATATTTAAGAGGTAAGAATTTTATACTTGGTGGCTTAGACGACCCCCTAACTTTGGGAAGATTTTTTTAATGTTCAAATTCCGTCTTATAAGCCGAGATATACGGTAGTCACTTGAATGCACATGGGGCCCCCATAATTTTCTAATTATACATGGAGACTACATTAACAGGAAACGTTTCGGTATAGAAAATGTGTGTGTCTTTTGGAAAAAAAATAAATAAATAAATAAAAAATTGAAAAAAAAAAGTCACAACTGCGGCGGTCGTAAGTCCTGACTGTCGTAAGTCGAAGCATTCTTAAGTCGGGGTCTAGCTGTACTTATCACAATCTTACTTACCACAATCACCCTAAAAATACTTTAGCTTTCGTGGTTATTCAAGACATCTTTGGGCCATGAGACATTCCATCAGAAGGCCAGTATTATCGGACCTCTAATCCGTTAACCGGGGGGGGCTCCTGCTTTAGATAACACGCATAGTTGGATAAACAGGGTAGTCAGCGAAACTTGTGGGGTATTTCCCTAATATTTAATCATCGGTTACACGAAGCGTCAATCAATGGGATCTCTGTTTACAGGGTATACCTGTAGTGTACCTTTAAAACAAAGTGAATACTGTACCTTGTGAAATGCAAGAATGCTGGATGATCTTGTTGATAGTTCTCTCCTTTATGCTCCTCTCATGTGACTGATGAAAATTACTGTCTAAATAAAGTCTCATGATGTTACATCATCAGTGTAAAAGTCAGTCATTCAGGGCATTATTGCATGGCTTTTCCTAGAAAGACGACAAATTTTTACCCCAATTTTACTAAAATTAGTACAGTGGTCCCTCGGTTAACGAACACAGTTCGTTAACCAAAATTTTGTTAACTGAAACCATTGTTTCAATAGGATTTTGGATAATTGGTTCCAGCCAGGGTTGGAAAAAATCATGATTTTTTTTTTAAATAAAAAAAATCGATTTATGTGATTTAAATTGGATTTTTTTATTTAAATAATTTTTTTTTACTTTTTTACTAATTGCATTAAAATAGTATTTTTAAACCATAAAAACAGTATTTTTCAACCAAAGCTTATTCAGGATAATAAACTAAAAATTGGCATTAAGATATTTATGCAGTAGATGTACCAATGGAATTTAACACAATAATATTCTTTTTGTAAAATAAAAGAAAACTGGTAACATATCTTACATTTGAGTGCACAAATCCAAACATCATAATGAAATTTAACATAAATGCTCTTATAGGATTACAGTGTTACAAAAATTAATAACTTAACTTCTTCCAGTCAACAGAATAATATTCTCATTTTGTAAAAAAAATAATACTGGTAAGAAGTTTATTTTCTTACATTTGTAGGATTATAGTGTATTAAGAATTACCGGTAATAACTTCAAGTCAACACAATATTCTCATTCTGTAAAAAAAAAAAAAAATTCAAAACATTTAAATTAGCTTAGTTGAACATTGAAATGCTTATGTACTGTGACAAGCTTAGATGCCTTTTCCTGTTCTAGGCGATTTCTTACCTTTGAGTGTACAAATCCATATGTGGAAAAAATTCTCTCAACCCCTGCTGATGATGCAACAGCTGTAAATAATTGCCTAGGAACATCCATTACATTTTCTGTCATATCATTGGCAAAATACTGCCACCAAGCAAGGAGTGAGAGAGATTTTACAACATCTTTACCAAAATAGACCTCTTTGAATGGGTGCACTTCTTCCATGGAAGGACATTAATGTTGAAAGGAAATGTGGAAGAGACTCGCACACATATTGTTCTACAATGTCTCGCTGCTCAGGAGTCAGATGTCTGCCCTGATACCTTGGATCTATCACATTAGCTAGAAAATGGGCAGGTGTCAATGCTACTTTGATTCTTTTTTCAAAATTATCCATATCCTTCTTATCTGTTAAATACTCGTTAATATCAGTTTTCAGTTTTACCCAGATTTCTACAGCATCACTTAATAGGGTATGTTCTCTCTGGACACAGTCCAATGCCACAGTAATAGGCTTAAGTCTCTAAATAGTCTTCTGCAGTTCTTTTTAATGCCTTATCATTAACTTTCCTTTAAATTTTCTTATCAATGTCTTCACTATTTTCTTTGCACACTTTGACAAGGGTCTCCCAGTTCTTTAAATAAGATTCAATAGAATCTGTCACTGTGTTCCATCGTGTGTCTGATGGCATTACTAGCATTGTTCCTCCTGCTCTTCTATACAAAGATCCTGGGATGTGATGATTTCTGAATTTCAATAGTATTTATTATCTTAGGTAACAATATATTTCATGTAAATATATACATTAATAATGAGACCTTATGATATGATCAAAGTTTCGCTAAACTGGAGAGAACAGACTATAGTACAGTACATAATTATGTAAATCCAAATAATGTTATTAGCCTGCTGCATTGCATATACTTTTCAATCATGTAGAATAAAAAGAGAAAACAGTTATTAGTAAAAAAATCATTTTGATTTAAATTGTGATTTTTTTACTCTGATTTAAATCGATTTAAATCGTGTGATTTAAATCATTTGATTTAAATCATAACAACCCTGGTTCCAGCTCACCGAAAATTACATACAAAGTAAAAAAAATAATGCAGTAAAGTACACTTACTTTGAGGTGTGTATGTGGAAGGCTCCTGGTTGATGATGATGGGAATTAGAAGTGGGGGTGGAGGAGAAGGGAGAAGAGAAGGAAGTGGGGGGTGGAAGAGAAATCACCCCATGCTTGATGCCGTCATTTCACCTATAAAATTTTAAGTTCACTAGGTGTAATTCAAGATTATTTTCTTTAAATCAACACTGCACTGCACTATATATTGTCAATATGTTAAATAAATTTCAGAATGACCAATAATTGTACTGTAAAAACGTAAAAATACTCTGTGTTCAAGAGACCCACAAGCAAGATGTTTCCTCCACTGAACAGAGATACAAACTGAGGCCTTGGTGGGTGAGTGAAGTGGCTGATGGGCACACCAAAAACTAGTTCCCTGTACTGCAATTATGTTAAATAAGTGTTAAAATTACTAACAATTTTAATATAAAACTTGGAAAATTTTTGAACAGTACAACCTTCTTGATATTTACTCCAATTTCAACGAATGTAAGCCCTAGAACCGATTTCTTTATTGGCGGACAAATCTTCCAGCTAGTGAGCAAGCCAAAGCATGTCAAAACATTTTCGTAAGAATTTCGTTAACCGAATTTTTGTTCGTTAACCGAAATGAAGATTCTTATGGAAGGTAATTCATTAACCGAAATTTTGTTAACCGAGGCGTTCATTAACCGAGGGACCACTGTATAACCACTCCAGTGGTGTAGTGCTTTAATTGTACTGGTAATTGTATACAGTATTATAATTGTGACAACATTGCAAAATTAAGGCGAGTAAAATTCAAACTTTGATACAAATATTTCCCACCAGTTATGCGTCAGACATTCATCGTTGGATGCATGTTTGTGGCCACATCAGTCCTGGGCCCTATCATGTACAACCTCTGGATTTTCAATGGATCAGCTAATGCCAACTTTTACTTTGCTGTTACTCTGGCCTTCAATACTGCTCAGGTAAACTATTATTAGTTGTTTGAGTTGAATTATGTTGAATTTAATCAGTGGCATTAAATTTATAATGTTTAAGACAAGCTTTCAAATGTTTACAAGTACAGTACAGTCTGTTAGTCTGTATGGAATAAACAAAAAGTCTTCCTTATGTCCACATGTAAAGAAAATTTAATGGAATGGCTTTTAGATTAATGATATTTGTATTCCAGATTTTTCTTGTTACTGATCTTCTGTTTGCTCATGTGAAGCGAGAATACCATCTCATCCATGGGTCCAAGATGGAGGTTGATGGAGTACCTGCCAGACTTACACTACAATGATTCAGCATTTTATGGTTTTTTATTTGGGGAACAATAGTTGTTAGTGCAACATGATTGATGGCCTTTCCATTTACTCACACTAATCTCATGCTTACATATAGGACTTAGCACCTTGTGAACATCAGTATTTGTGGAGAGTTTTGCAGAAGAAAAGTGACTGGTGATGTGGAATGGAAATTATGTGGGCACAAAGTATTTACTGTATTATGTTAGTCATATGGGTTTTACAACCTAATGCATGACTTAGGCAAACTTTGTATTACCCCACCAAAGCCTGTCGGTTAAAAGCCTAGGACCCACAAACCTTCGTGCAATCATAAACCTTAAAAAGTTTCTACTAAAGACTGAAGAGTCTTGTTACACTGGTTGTTTATTTCATGATCTTCATTTGGCTTGGTTACAAGCTGTCATATATTCTGTACTCCTAAGCACACACAAATATTCCTACACACATATTCACACAAGCATAGAATCCCTACACTGGTTCTATTACATCACCACGGTCAAGTGAAGACAGGCAGTGATCACTACACTGGTTCTATTACATCACCATGGTCAAGTGAAGACAGGCAGTGATCACCACACTGGTTCTATTACATCACCATGGTCAAGTGAAGACAGGCAGTGATCACTACACTGGTTCTATTACATCACCACGGTCAAGTGAAGACAGGCAGTGATCACCACACTGGTTCTATTACATCACCATGGTCAAGTGAAGACAGGCAGTGATCACTACACTGGTTCTATTACATCACCACGGTCAAGTGAAGACAGGCAGTGATCACCACACTGGTTCTATTACATCACCATGGTCAAGTGAAGACAGGCAGTGATCACTACACTGGTTCTATTACATCACCATGGTCAAGTGAAGACAGGCAGTGATCACCACACTGGTTCTATTACATCACCACGGTCAAGTGAAGACAGGCAGTGATCACCACACTGGTTCTATTACATCACCATGGTCAAGTGAAAACAGGCAGTGATCACTACACTGGTTCTATTACATCACCACGGTCAAGTGAAGACAGGCAGTGATCACCACACTGGTTCTATTACATCACCACGGTCAAGTGAAGACAGGCAGTGATCACCACACTGGTTCTATTACATCACCATGGTCAAGTGAAGACAGGCAGTGATCACCACACTGGTTCTATTACATCACCATGGTCAAGTGAAGACAGGCAGTGATCACCACACTGGTTCTATTACATCACCACGGTCAAGTGAAGACAGGCAGTGATCACCATACTGGTTCTATTACATCACCACGGTCAAGTGAAGACAGGCAGTGATCACCACACTGGTTCTATTACATCACCATGGTCAAGTGAAGACAGACAGTGATCACCACACTGGTTCTATTATATCACCACGGTCAAGTGAAGACAGGCAGTGATCACCACACTGGTTCTATTACATCACCACGGTCAAGTGAAGACAGGCAGTGATCACCATACTGGTTCTATTACATCACCACGGTCAAGTGAAGACAGGCAGTGATCACCACACTGGTTCTATTACATCACCACGGTCAAGTGAAGACAGCAGTGATCACCACACTGGTTCTATTATATCACCACGGTCAAGTGAAGACAGGCAGTGATCACCACACTGGTTCTATTACATCACCACGGTCAAGTGAAGACAGGCAGTGACTGCCACACTGGTTCTATTACAAACATTGACAGTATAATTAATATCTTCGTAAGAAGGAAGCCGTCTTAACCGGAACTCTCTAATAGCCCGAATTTAAATTTTCCAAGGGGCACATTTTCTTGAAAAATCCAAGAAAATTATCCCGGTCCCTGGAAAATTCGAGGGATGGAGGAGTTTTATCTGGATTTGAGAAATGGAAATCAGGTGCATTTTCTGGAAATTCTGAGAAAATTTTTCCGGCTTCCGGAAATTTCTGGGGATGGGGGATATTTTTCCGGGTTCGAGAGAAGATGTAATGCACAATTTTTGGAACTTCTGAGAAAAATTTTCTGTCACCCAGAAAATTCCTGGAATGAGAAATTTTTTTCGGCTTTGAGAGATATGTAATGCGAATTTCTGGAACTTACGAGAACATTTTTCCATTACTCGGAAAATTCTGAAAATTTCTTGGGATGAGGGTTTTTCCGGCTCTGAGAGAGTCATCTTGTTACCTGGAAATCTCATTCCCGGAAGTGCTGTGCACCAATTGTTCCGGCTAACGGAGATAGCATCACTCACCTAGATTTTGCCAAGGCTTTGACAGCGTACCCCATGAAAGGCTGAGAATTAAATTGGAAGGGTACGAGATTCAGGGAAGTGTCCTAGCGTGGATCGGAGACTTTCTGGATGACCACAAACAGTGTGTGGTGACAAATGGCATGAAATTGTCATGTGTACCTGTGACAAGCGGGGTACCACAGGGCAGTGTATTGGGTCTGTTGTTGTTTGTTTGCTTCATAAATGACATGCCAGAAGCTATACACTCCTCCATACAAATGTTTGCGGATGATGCCAAGTTATTTAGGGAAATTAAGAACCGAACAGACTGTGAAGAGGTACAGAAAGAGCTCTCTGAGCTTCAAGAATGGTTAAAGAAATGACTGCTAAGATTCAATGTCATGAAGTGCAAGAGGATGCACCTAGGTTGCACCAACAGTAAGGAGGCGTATCCCATGTCCCAACAGGACGAAGAAGCTGCATTGAGACCGAATGAGAAAAGGACATGGGTGTGTATGTTAAAAAGGAACTTGTTCTTGGGCCACTGTGAGAAGAAGGTGAGTCAGGCAATGAAACTAGTAGGTCTTATAAGAAGGTCGTTTAGATGTCTGGGTGGTTCGTCACTCGTCATGATCTTCAAGAGTGAGGTGCTTCCCCATCTGGAGTACTTACTCCCCATCTGGTCCCCGGGGTATGCTAGAGACTGTCAGTTAATTGAAAATGTTCAAAGGAGGGGTGATCTAATCGAAGTGTATAAACATCTCAGGAGGCACTACTCAGTCAAATGTACATATCTGGAGCTGGCGGACGTCCGTCCCACAAGGGGTCACACCTCAAGGTTGATGATCCACAAATCCCGAAAACTGTGAGGGCAAACTTTTTCAGGGTGAGAATTGTGAACCTTTGGAACAATCTGCCAGAGTGTGTTGTGACGGTACTGATCTCATTCAAGGCCAGACTTGACAAACACTGGAGCAGTTTCCAATATATTCAGGAGCCAGTGCATACCCAGTAATTGCTAACAGAGCGTAACAGACATGACCGACCGCCCAAGCGATCGAATGAGCCGATCAGTGGCGAAGAGGATAAAACTAAGTCACCATGGTCAAGTGAAGGCAGGCAGTGATCACTACAATGGTTCTATTACATCACCATGGTCAAGTGTAGGCAGGCAGTGATCACCACATTGGTTCTGCACCTACCTCAACAGAGTGTTAACCTCTATCCCCAAAGATAAGGTTGTGCTCCTTGGTGACTCCAATGCCAGAGTTGGCCTACTGCTCCTCAGCAAGTGTGCTGCACACAATCTCACTATCATCAATAACTTGTTTAGGCAAACCAACAAGTTCAAGGGTTCATGGTAAAGCCCACGATCCAAACACTGGCGTCTCATTGACTACATCATTGCCAGAGAAAGAGTTCGCCAAGATGTCCTCATCACCCATGCCATGCATGGCTCAGACCACTGCGACACTGATCATCAGCTCATCAGAGCCAAGCTCCCACTTCACGTCGCCCCAAAATGGCGAAGGCAGCAAGCCTTCAGAAGAGGTTTTAACACTAAGCGTCTGGAGGATCCAGTGGGAGCATTTGCTTTCAAAGAGCAGCTTGTACATGGTCTGATAAACAACCCAACAACAAACAACCCAAATTGCAGTGCCGAATGGGATATTCTTGACACTGTCATAACAAAAACCTGCAGAGAGACCCTCGGCCAGATCAAAAGAATACACCATCAATCAATGTACTCGTTGATGATAAACTTGCTGCTTTAACTGACTGGCAGAACAACCCTCAGTCTCAGACCAAAGTTGATACCTTCCACAAGAAGAAAGTGTCGGCCCAGCGGAAACTTTGCAATCTAAAGAACGACTGGTTTAAAAATAAAGCATGTGAAACACAAAAATTTGGAGATCAGCGCATAATGCGTGAATTTCAATATTCCACTAAAACATTTTATGGTCCAATCACCCGTAGCGCAGTCCCCTTCGCTCACTCGACGGTAACTCCATAATTAAAGATGATGAAGGCCTCCTTCAGCACTGGAAAGAGCACTACCATTCGCTGCTCAACCAAAACACCAATGTGGATGTACTGACTACCAAGCAGGTCCCTCAGCATCCAGAGCCGACCTACCTCGGCTATTCTCCATCTCTGGTGAGGTAGCTACTGCCATCAAACAGATGAAGAATAACAAAGCCTCCGGGCCTGATGGAATCCCAGCCGATGTATATAAAGCAGGAGGACCACTGAATACCAGCCATCTCCATTCTCTCCTGGAGAATATATGGGAAAAGGAGGAAATCCCCCAAGCTCTTAAAGATGGCTCCATCGTCAATATTTATAAGAACAAGGGAGACTCGTCAGACTGTGGCAACTACTGCAGGATATCACTGCTGTCCATAGCTGGCTAGATTATCACCCGAGTCCTAAACAGACTTCTTACTGAGGCAGAAAACTTCCTCCCACTGAAATGATCTTTGCTGCCTGTCAGATACAGGAAAAGTACAGAGAAGAGCTTCATGACCTGTTCATGGCTTTCATCGACCTAACCAAGTCCTTCGACTTAGTCAACAGGGAAGCCCTTTGGTGGACCCTCAGCCGTTTTGGCTGCCTACCAAAATTCATCGCCATTGTAAGGCTACTCCACGATGGCATGAGCGGCAGTGTCCTGCACAGTGGCACCCAGTTTCAGTTCTTCCCCATCCAAACGGGGGTTAAACAAGGTTGTGTACTAGTACCAACTCTCTTTTTCATTTTCTTAGCTGCCTTCCTTACTCGTGCCAGTACCAATTTAGCTGGCGGGGTAGACATCAAGTACTGGATGAAGGGTCTTTTCAATATGAGGTGACTCCAGACAGGAACAAAGGTGTTGGCAGCTTCCATTACTGAGCTTCAGTATGCAGACGACCTCACCCTTGTCGCTGTCATTGAATGCAACCTACAGGAAATCCTGAACACCTATGCAGATGCGTATGCACACTTTGGCCATGAGGTGAATGTACAGTCTCGTTCAATATTCTTCGAACTCTGCTGGAGACAGCTGGTATCTCGAGGCCTTTTGTTTACTATAGTAATTAGTAAAAATTATGAATAAATATAAAAGTGATCAGTGATTGTTTACTTAGTTTCCCGTTGCTTAATTTAATGATTGGACTATGTTGTTTCGTATTATGTAATACTACGTACTACAGTAAACAAACGGTCTTGAGTTGCCAGCTGTCTCCAGCAGTGTTCGAAGAATCTTGAACGAGACTGTACATAAAACTCAGATTATCTTTCAGCCTGCCCTGGTTCAGCCACACCTCTACCATCCATCCAGCTTAATGGTACTATCCTCTCTAATGTTGCCCGGTTTTGTTATATCTACTCCCACCTATCTACCACCGCAGACATCAATGAAGAGATTCAGCATCGGATCAGATGTGCATCTCAAGCCTTTGGCAGACTCCAAAACCATGTCTTCAGCTGTAGGCATCTGAAATTATCTACAAAGTTACACGTTTATCGAGCAGTGGTCCTCCCCACCCTGCTATATGGTAGCGAGACATGGGTCACATATAGGAGACACCTCAAGGCACTTGAAAACTTTCACCAACATAGTCTACGTTCCATCCTCCGAGTTTGTTGGGAAGACAAGAGAACAAATGTCATTACAGTAAAGCCTCCGATAACGATGGTTCAACTAACGAAGATTCATATCTAAGACCCCTATTAATTTAGGACCCAATTCAATTTACGCCACTATTTTCTTCGTATTTACAACAAAATTAAAAGAATATATATTACATTTTCGTATAAATAATAACTAAATCCTGATATTATTAAAAGAAACAAAAAAAAAAACACGCCTTGCACACGGAGGCTGCTGGACTCGTTAGTGGTGAAGCCAGCTTCACTAGTATACAGTAAACAATCGCAGCTGGCGAGCCCTTTGTTTTCATGCATCTGAACAGGAAAAGGTGAAAAAGTTTCTCAGGGTTCATACAGCATTTTGGCATCCCTATTCAACATGAGCAAGTGATGGTATTATTGTTTCAAAAGCTATAGAAAGTGTATAAGCTTAGACGAGAAACTAGACGTGTTAAAACGATATGAAAAATGTGAGAAGTCTGTGGATATTATATGGAGCAAGCAATGAACATAATTTCTGAAGTGGATCCATTAACAGAACAAAGCATTAAAATTTAAATAAATGCAAATGACTTCTACATAAAGATGTATAATGAGAAAAGAAAGCAGCTGTGCAAGGTTCTTTCGACAGCTTTATTATTCGAAGGCCTAAACCATCAACTTCAGCTACACCATCAAATTCAGCATCATAAGGAGCTTCAACAAAAACTTCAGGTTCAGTAACAGTTTCAGCAATAGCTTTATGGAAAGCTACAGCTTCAGCCAGAGTTGAACCTGATGGCTTCGTCATCTGAGTAAAAACTCGCACAATATTCATTGGCTGTCCTTATGTTTTAGACTTTACCACCACTGTTGAGTAGAATTTTTGTTTTACATTCATAAATATTATTTAAAATAAATATGAACAGTAAATAAGTGTTGCTTTCATATTCATATGTTGAGAAATTAAACTATGTTTTCACATGTACTCACTACTGTACATGCGTTGGCATTCCCAATTGTCTCGCCTTATTTCTTTACCATTAGTGGATAGCTACTTCTAGTGTTCCATTTATTAACATTAAATAACATTACTTAAAACATACATACAGGTATTCAATTTTTTTACATTAAGTTCACTACAGCTACAACCAGGGTTTTATTTTCTTCAGTTTCTTATGTAGAACCATCGTCACCCACGAAAACAATGCCGTCTTGTCTCCTCGTGTGTGTTTTAATATTCTATGTTTTATTAATGAATTCCTTTGTTCATTTCACATATATAAACATTAGTTCAATCAAATACATATTCACTAATAAACAATAATGAATCTTTTATACATATTCTGAAGATAAATAACTATGTTTCCTTGAGTGCGCACGTATACATTGACGTTCCACTAGCATTCTCACATTTTTATTTAATATCTGGTTACTTACTGTACATTAAATAAAATTAATT